CAAATAAATGAAGCATATAGAACTCCAAACAACCTTGACCAAATTAAAACTGCACCAAGACATATAATAATTACATTTTCAGAAATTCAGCATGAGAATAGAATATTAAAAGCTGTTAGAGAAAAATACAGAAGATCATCAACACCTATTTCAAATGGACAGATTCCTAGAATCCTAAGAAGTACCAAAGCTGGGTCAAGAAGATGTAAAACTGCTGAATAACCCAATTTCTATTAATGAAATTGAAAATGTAATTATGTCCTTACCTACAAAGAAGAGCCCAGGCCCAGACGGATTCACTGTGGAATTCTACAAGAAATACAAAGAAGACTTAAATGTTGACGCTCCTCAAATTCTTCAATGAAATCGAAAGAGAAGCAATTCTTCCTACGTCATTCCTGGAAGCAAATATTACTCTACTACCAAAACCTGAGAAAGACCCAACTAAAATAGAGAACTACAGGCTAATCTCCCTAATGAATACAAAATGAATGCAAAAATCCTCAATAAAATATTGGCAAACAGGATGCAGCAAATCATCAAGAAGATTATACCCCACGATCAAGTGGGATTCATCCCAGGCATGCAGGGATGGTTCAACATACATAAATCAATAAATGTAATCCACCATATCAATAAAGCCAAAAGTAAGAATCACATGATCATTTCTATAGATGCAGAAAAAGCTTTTGATAAGGTCCAACACTCATTCATGATAAGAACCTTACAGAAAATTGGAATAGATGGTCTTTACCTCAATATGATAAAGGCCATCTATGGCAAACCAACTGCCAGCATCATACTAAATGGCCAAAAAAAGGATGTCCTTTATCACCACTCCTATTCAACATATACTGGAAATAATAGTCAGAGCAGTAAGACAAGAGAGAGAAATAAAAGGGGTAAAGATAGGAAAAGAGGAAGTTAAATTATGATTATTTTTGGATGACATGATACTCTACATGGAAAGTCCATTGAAAGACTCCTATATACAATAAATAAATTCAGCAATGTAACTGGATGTAAAATCAATACTTAAAAATTGATAGCATTTCTATACACTAACAACAGAATCACTAAGAAAGAAAAGAAGCCACATCTTTCACACTAGCATCCAAAAAATGAAATACTTAGGAATTAATCTCACAAAAGAGGTAAAAGATCTATACAGGAAAAATTATAATACCCTGAAAAAGAAATTGAAGAAGATCTCAGAAAATGGAAAGACATCCTTTGTTCATGGATGGGAAGAATAAATGTTGTAAAAATGGCCATTCTCCCAAAACTGTTATACAGATTCAATGCAATCCCAATGAAAATACCATCAACATACCTCATAGATCTAGAGGAATCACTCCTAAAATTCATCTGGAACCAGAAGAGACCTAGAATAGCAATGACAATTCTAGGCAGCAAAGGCAAGGCAGGAGGCATCACAATCCTTGACTTGAAGTTATACTACAAAGTAACTGTAATAAAATCAACATGGTACTGGAATCAAAATGGAACCAAAGATCAATGGAATAGATTAGAAGATACAACCTCAACTACAAACATACTCAACCACCTTATCTTTGATAAAGGGGCCAAACATGTTCATTGGAAGAACGACAGTCTCTTTAATAAATGGTACTGGAAAAACTGGCCCTCCACATGCCAAAAACTAAAACTAAAACTAGTATATGCCTATCAGCATATACTAAACTAAAATTTAAATGGATCAAAGATCTGAATATTAAAACAGAAACACTAAATCTGTTGGAAGACAAATTAGGTAAAAATCTTGAAGGCATAGGGGTAGGTAGAGAATTTATGAACAGGAATCAAACCACACGGGAAATACTTCACAGAATCAATAGCTGGGATCATGTCTTATTAAAAAGTTTCTGCATGTCAAAAGAAATCTCTAGCATAGTGAAAGAAAACCTACAAACTGGAAAAAAATCTTAGTGAACTGTGCCTCAGACAAAGGACTTCTGTCTAAAACATATAAAGAATTAAAAAAAATCAGACCCCCAAAATTCTAAGATCCAATCCAAAAATGGGTATCTGAGATGAATATACAGTTCTTAGTTGAAGAAATACAAATGGCAAATAAATACATGAAAAAAATGTTCATTGTCATTGGTCATTAGAGAAATGCCGATTAAAACAACACTGAGATTCCATCTCACTCCAGAAAGAATGGCCAGGATCAAGAAAACTACCAACAACCAATGCTGGAGAGACTGTGGGGAAAAAGGAACTCTCCTGCAATGTTGGTGGGAGTGTAAGCTGGTGCAGCCACTATGGAGATCAGTCTGAAGACTCCTCAAAAAGCTGGGATTGGAAGTCCCATTTGACCCAGCTATTCCACTTCTAGGCATATTCCCAGAAGAACTGAAAGCATCATACCGCATTGATATATGTACACCCATGTTTATAGCAGCACAATTTGTAATAGCCAGATCTTGGAAACAACCAACTGAGGAATGGATAAAAAAGATGTGGTTTTTTGATTTAAAGGAAAAAAAACCAAAACAGTATAGGGGTACAAGTAATACAGAATTTCAAAAACACAGTAAGAAATCACTAGTTAATAGATTACATATTGTCATCTTAGAAATAGTTGTTCATGTTACAGGATTAAAGCATATCAAGTGGACATTCAAACAGTGAGACTGCAAACAGTTGTGTTCAATGATCCAACAAAAACTAAGTAATATGGTCATCTATCTTACACACCTAAACACACTTGCAGTTGTATCCATTGGAGCACTTTTTTTCCCCTCTCTTTTTTACAACAAAATTTACACATTTTGGGTTTTATTACTCCCATAGTTCTTATTACTTTCTTTTGGAAGAGAATAAAACCAAATGTGACGAAACAAACTAGTCAGTCAAAACAAAGGATGGACATAGCACATGATGTAAAAACAGAATACAAGGTTATCAACAATGGTTACCATAATGCCTCTTGCTACCTTAAAAAGAATTGCCTATCAGAACATGATCAATAAAACCTGAACATTGGAAACATTACAGGATTTCAAAAGAAGATAATAGTCAAACCAGAATGGGCATCATAGTGAATCTTATTGCCTTCAAAGTAGTTGCCTATACCCTCAAACTTGATACTATCAAACAGAACGGAACAGAGTAAAAATCAGTTAAAACAAGATAGTGGGAGTAATACAGGGCTTCAAATCAAGTTATTAGGAAATCAAAAAAGTTACTATAATATATGCTGCTAATTTTTTAATTTTTCCCCTTAATTAAAAAATCATAAAAATAACTAATTTTTTAATGAATAAGGGAGAGATTGAGCTAAAAGAGGACATAACAATATAACAACACAAGTCAAAGCATAACAATTTCAGCAACCTAGTGCTTCACCACAAGACAACCCAACTTAATAGTAGTTACCATTGTGTCTCTTTCCTTGAAATATTTGCATATATCTTCGTATACTATAGCATCAAACATATCAAGATAGTGTGAAACCATTCAAGAGGATGAAAGTATTACAGGGTATTTAGAACCAGCTAATGGAAGACAAACAATGGTTTCTATATAATCTCTTTGCCTATAAAAATTTTTGTTTATACTTTCACATATAATAAAATCCAATAAGATACAACATGATAAAACCAGTGGAGACAGAAGAACAACAATTTGGTGGGACTTCAAAACAAGATGATATTAAATCAGCACTAGCTATTATGTCTTGGTTTCTTCAAAATAGCTGTTCATATCATCACAGGCAATGATATCAAACAGCCCAGAATAAAGCCATTCCAATTTATGAATGAAAACTTTATAAGGCTTCAAAGCCACATAATGGGCAATCATGATTTCCACATACTTTTATATATTTGAATCATTTTTTACAATAGGGAAACTATTCTGTATTCATACATGTGAGTTTGATTTATTTCACTTATGAGTATGGTGTCAAGCTGCATCCATTTATTTATAAATATCTCAATGTAATCCTTCTTTATATCTGAGTAGTACTCCATTGTATAAAAATACCACAACTTTTTAATCCATTCCTCAGTTGATGGACACTTGGGTTGTTTCTAAGATCTGACAATTACAAATTATGCTGCTATAAACATGGGTGCACATATATCACTGTAGTATGATGCTTTCAATTCTTCTGGGAATATGCCTTAGAAGTAGAATAGTGGAACAAATGGGACTTCCAATCCCAGCTTTTTGAGAAATCTCCAGACTGACCTCCACAATGGTTGCACCAGTCTATACTCCCACCAACATTGAAGGAGAGTTCCTTTTTCCCCACAGCCTCTCCCCCCACTTGTTGTTGATGGTTTTCTTGATCCTGGACATTTTTTCAGGAGTGAGATGGAATCTCAGTGTTATTTTAATTGGCATTTCTCTAATGACTAATGATGATGAATATTTTTTCATGTATTTATTTGTCATTTGTATTTCTTCATCTGAGAAGTGTGTATTCATCTCAGATGCCAATTTTTGGATTGGATCTTTGAATTTTGGGGGTCTGATTTTTAAAATTTTTTATATGTTTTAGACAGATGTCCTTTGTTTGCAGTATCTTTTATCATTAATTTCTAATTTCAAAGCACTATGATCTGATAACCTGCATGGGATAATTTCAACTCTTTTACATTTATTTAAATATGTTCTGTGAGCTAATATATGGTCTATTTTAGAGAACGACCCATGTACTGCTGAGAAGAATGTGTATTCTGATGTTGTTGGATGGAGCACTCTGTATATGCCTATCAAGTCCATTTGTTCACATGTGTAATTCAGTTCTGTTATTTCTTTGCTGATTTTCTGTCTGGTTGATCTGTCCCTTGGTGTCAGTGGTGTATTAAGGTCTCCTGTTACAATTGTGTTACTTATAATTTGATTTTTCATTTCTGTTAATACTTGTTTTATATAACTGGGTGCTCTGGAATTTGGTGCATATATATTTAAGATAGTTATCTCTTCCTCTTGAAGTTTTCCCCTAACAGGTATGTAGTGACCTTAAAAATATGGAACACTTCATGAATCTGCATGTCATCCTTGTGCAGGGGCCATTCTAACCTTCTCTGTATCATTCCAATTTTAGAATATGTGCTACAGAAGCGAGCACAAAAGATGTGGTATTTTTATACAATGGAGTACTACTCAGCCATAAAGAATGATCACATTTATGTATTTATAAATAAATGGGTGCAGCTTGAGACCATACTCATAAGCGAAATAAATCAAACTCACATGTGTAAATGCCATATAGTCTCCCTAGTGTAAGAAATGGTAAGAGTACATAAGAGTTTAAGGTAATCATGATTCCTCATTACATTGCTTTGAAACCTTATAATGTTGGCATTCATTAGTTGGAAAGGTTTTACCCTGGTTTGTTTGATTTTATTATCTGTGATGGTATCAACAGCTATTTTAAAGAAAACAAGACATTATAATAGCTAGTGATGATTTAATATTATCTTGTTTTGAAATCCCACCAAGCTTTTGTTCTTCTGTCTCCATTGGTTTTATCATGTTATATCTTAATGGATTTTATTATATGTGATAGTATAAGCAAACATTTTTATAGACAAGGAGATAATATAGAAACCATTGTTCATTTTCTGTTAGTTGGTTCTGAATACCCTGTAATATTTTCATTCTCTTAAATGGTTTTACACTGTGTTTTTATGTTTGATACTATAGTATATGAAGGTATACTCAAATATTTCAAGGAAAGAGACACTATGGTAGCTACTGTTATGTCAGGTTGTCTTGTGGTGAAACACTAGGTTGCTTAAATTGTTCTGTTCTGACCTGTGTGGTTATGTCCTCTTTTATTTTAATTTTTTTTAAAAAAGGATAGCTATGCTTTTGTTCTTCTGTTTCCTTTGGTTGTATCATGTTATATCTTATTGGATATTATTATGTGTGGTAGTATAAACAAATTTTCTATGTAAAATGAGATAATATAGTAGCCATTGTTCATTCTCTGTTATTTGGTTCTGAAAGCCCTGTAATGCTTTCATTCTCTTGAATGGTTTTATACTGTTTTGTTATGTTTGATACTATCGTATATCAAGTTATGTTCAACTATTTTAAAGAAAGAGACATTATGATAGTTATTGTTAATATTGGTTTGTCTTGTAGTAAAATCTGTGTTGCTTGCAAAAAAAAAAAAAAAGAAGAAGAAGAAGATGCAGACACAGCCGCAAAACACTCAGCCATCTAATTATTGACAAAGGGGCCAAACATGTTCACTGGAAGAAAGACAGCCTCTTTAATAAATGGTGCTGGGAAAATTGACTTTCTACGTGCCAAAGAGTAAAATTAGATCTATATCTATCACTATGTAGTAAACCAAGATGAAATCGGACCAAACATCTAAGTATTAAATCAGAACCACCAAAACTATTAGAAGAGAAGATATGCAGAAATCCTGAAGACATAGGTGTAGGCAGAGTTCATGAACAAACTCAGAGTGCTCGGAAAATATGACAAAAAACAGCAATGGGATCTCACTTTATTCAAAAGCTTCTGCACAACAAAAGAAATCACCAGCAGAGTGAAAAGACAACCCACAGAGTTAGAAAAAATTATCACCAGCTGTGCCTCAGACAAAGGACTTTTATCTAGAACATAAAAAATATTGAAAAAAAATCAAATCCCCAAAATTTAAAGACTCAATCAAAAAATGAGCATCTGAGATGAATAAACAGTTCTCAGATGAAGAAATAAAAGTGGCAAATAAATGCATGAAAAAATGTTCAACATCATTGGTAATTTGAAAGATGCAACTTAAAACAACACTGAGATTCCATCTCACCCAGAAATCATGGCTATCATCAAGAAATCAACCAATAACAAATGCTGACAGGATGGTGGGTAAAAAGTAACCGTCTTTCACTGTTGATGGGAGTGTAGACTGATAAAACCACTGTAGAAATCAGTGTGGATATTCCTAAAAGTACTAGGATTAGAGGTCTCATTTGACCCAGCTATTCCCCTTCTGGGTATTTTCCCAGAAGAACTAAAACATCATACTACAGTCATAAATGTGCACCCATGTTTATAGCAGCACAGTTTGTGATAACTAAATGTTGGAAACAACCCAAATGCCATCAACTGCAGAATGGATAAAGCAGATGTGGTGTTTTTATAGAGTGGAGTACTACTCAGGTATAAAAAGGGCAACTTTGAGCCTTTTATAGATGAATGGATGCAACTTTAGATCATCCTCATAGGTGAAATAAATCAGATTTGCATATGTAAAGATCATATTGTCTCCCTAGTGTAAGAAGCTGAAAGAGTAAATAAGATACAATAGATATTATGAAATGGGAAGTAACTTTAAAAGGAAAGAGAAGCTGCGAAGGGGGGAAGGAGAAAAAAGGAAGGCAAAAGGAAAAAAATTATACAAGATAGTTAAGATAACTATACTACTAATTTCTCTTAGTTCCTTGAAAAGTAAGGTTTATGCTTCTATTGTTTGATCAATTTTTCACACCTGTATTTTGCAATCTGAGTAACTTCTTTGAAAATAACAATATGTAATATATTAACCATTACCTTCCTATTATCTTGTTTTAAAATTTTGTATCGTTTTTCTTTTCTTTTTAAAATAAAACAATTAACAAAATCTGAGCTGAATCAGGTAAGGAAGAGAATTTATTATAACTTTAGAAGGGAATTCTGGCTCATAGTACTCAGTACAGAATTGTAGCTGGGCAGCAAAAGTCAACTACAAGAAGGAACCAGTGCAGTCAGAGCTCCTTTCTGTTTTCTTTCTGTCTCTATGTCTGTTTCTGTGAAGACCAACGTCTGAAATTACTGCTGAAAATATTACTAACCACAGTTGCTGGTTTTACTCTTCATCTGTAATCCAGTCATTCAGGCAGAGAGCAGTCTATCTCTCAGTTCTGTCTTCCTAGAAAAGGACTTTGATTGGCTCAGCTTGAGTCAGTTGCTTATTGCAGTGCAAAGAGCCACTGTTAGGGGCCAATTCGTTGTCATTCATGCCCTTCTGTTCTCATGATGGCTCTAGCTGCACCACTGTGGCAGGCAGGTAGAGGAGTGACTTACAGTGCTGGGTAGATGTTCCGATGGAACATCACATCCACTTTAGTGGAGCAGATCATGCATTCAGTCAGGTTTGTGTTTCTCTCCTGGCTTTTTACAAAACCAGATATGGTATGCATAATTTACAACAAAAAGAATAGAACTTAAATGTTTAATTTGGTAAGTGTTAATCAATGCATACCCACTCCTGTCAAGATATAGAACTCTTCTATTACTCCAGAAAGATCCCCCTACAATCAGCCTGCACCCTTCAAACGCAACCAGACTTCTGAACTATGCAAACCTAGAAAGTCTGACCTGGTTGTAGAACTTGGTATACGTACATTTAAACAATATGTACTTTTTGATCTTTCTTATTCCAAATAATGTTTCTGGATCAACCATGTTGCTGTTATTATTATGAAGTCTATTTACGTCTTTTGCTGAGAATAGTACATGCATCTATCAGATTTTGTATTTATTTACTTGTTGGTGGACTTTTTGATTGTTTTTAAGTTTTTGACTGTTTATTTAGGGCTAGAAGGAAATTTCTTGCATTAAATGCGGAGATTAGAAAATATGAGTTCAGTTTTGAGTAAGTTGAGTCAGAGCTACACTTGGGACATTCAGATAGTGAGATCTGGGATCCTTTTGGAGTGCAGGATATAGACGTGGTCTAGTTATTTATATTTCTGTAGTCTCTAGTCTTTATGCTAAGTTAAAAACCACGGGAAAGTCTTCAGGTAGAGCCCAAAGTGTGATACAAGAAAATGCCTATATATTAACTCTTGAGGAGAACGGGCATTTGAGGAGCAGAAGTAAGAGGAATCCTTTAAAGAGGTTGAACAGCCTGACCATTTATCTTTGTGTCTCCATCAGAAGGCCCGGGATCTGCCAGTCACAGTGTGCTAAATTTAACAAAAGGACAGAGTGCTGCATTCCTGGTTATTGACAGACCTCTTGTAATCTATCTCCTTGTCCCATTCGGCAAATGTATTGGGAGGAGAAATGGTTTAAGGAGTCTGAAAGACCAGAATGAGCATGGTAGACTGAATTGGGGGTGGGGATGGAAATCCAGATGAGCTACACCTTTTCTTACCGAGCCAGGCTGGGGAGAAAAGTCTGAAAAGATGAATAGATAGGGACAGTTTATTCAGGCCTCAAATGGATGTCCACTTGAAGAATCTAGAGTCCAACAGGCTTGCTACTTCCCAAGGCGAGGCCATCGAGTATTCTAGAGTAGGGCGTGACGCATGAAATTTCCTTGTGGGAAGTGAACTCCGGTGGCAGTGGCGCTGGTGACCGTGTTGTGTGGTCAGCTACACTAAGTGCTTTCCACCGGGCTTTGTCATCTTAGCTATTTGGGAAAAAGCGGTGCTGCAGCTGATGGTGATTGCAGTCCAATCCCTGGCCGAGGGTCGTAAGTTTGCCTCTTAGCCTTGGCAAAAGGAGGCAGAGGTGGTGGCATCTGGTCACAGCTGGGAGGCAGTGCGGGCGCGCCCAGCGGGAGCTGCAGGGGAGGACGCGGGCGGGGCGGCCGGGGGCGGGGCGGGGCGGGGCGGGGCGGTGTGGAGCCAGGCCACGCCCCCCGGCCGCGCACGCGCCCTGTGGGGCTGTTAGCTGTCAGGCGCCGAGCTGCGGACCAGCGGCTGCATCCGACGTCCGTTCCTGGACCCCGCGCTCCGATCCCAGCGCCGCGACATCCTCGAGGAGAGCGCGGCCCGGCCCCCGGCCAGAGCACAGAGGCAGACAGCGACCCGTGGGCAGCCGGCCGCGCAGGCGAGATGGGCAACAGGGAGATGGAGGAGCTGATCCCGCTGGTGAACCGGCTGCAGGACGCCTTCTCGGCGCTGGGACAGACCTGCCTGCTGGAGCTGCCGCAGATCGCCGTGGTGGGCGGCCAGAGCGCGGGCAAGAGCTCGGTGCTGGAGAACTTCGTGGGCAGGTGAGCGCGCGGGGCGCGGGGCGCGGGGCGCGGGGAGGGGGCGCACCGGGGTGACCCTGCCCGAGGCCGTGACTCCGGACGGCGCGAGAGCCGGAGCGCGGACCGCGGCTGGGGCGACTGCGGGGCAGGGTGGGCTGGCGTGGGACGGGCGGCGTCCCCAGCTCCGGGCATCCTCCGTCCCCGCCCCCCGCGTGGTGGCCCCCGGGCTCGCTTTCATCCTGCCTTACAAAGCCATTTCCTCCCGATCCTCCGGCTGGGCAGTCCGGGAGGGGTCCACCCGGGACCGACTTCCCCCCGCCTGGCGCGCGCCAGCCCTGGGCAGCCTGGCCGGGTACGCGCCGGGTGCTTTCCAGACCCCTGCTCTTCGGTTTCCCGGCTCAACATCCTCCTCCTTTTCCTGTCACCCTACCCGACCCGAGGCTCTCTGCCCGGCTGTGGGGTTTCATCCCCCCTGGCACTGATGCTTTCTTCTCACCCTGGTTCTCTGATCCTCTCAGCTGTATACTGTTCGAGATCAGCGTCGCCTGTCCCTAGCTGGGAAGGCGGGGTGCGAGGAGAAAGAAAACGCTTGTTGTGCTGAAGCTTTTTCTAGAGATTCTTTCCCACCATTCTTCTCCCTGGAAAGTCAAAGAATAAAATTGGTGTGTTTGTGTGTACACCCATTCCCAGCTCTAGGCGTATGTCCTGGAACCCGAGGCACAGACAGCCAGGGGGTGGCCGTGGACTCCTGTGGTCCAGGTGCTATGTCATTCCTGCATCATCTCAGGACTGACCAGCATCTTTCTGGCACTCTCTCCGTGCCCCCTCCCCCAGCATCCTCTTCAGTTCCTTGAGCTCTTATTTGCCCTCCAAGCCTTCAAGATAACATTCTGAATTCAAATTGTTCTTATGCTTTTGTGTTCTCACAACTCTTAATACGCACAAAGCTAAAGAATTAATCTTTAAAATTGGGAATCAACGTTTATTCTACTGAGCAGTTCAGGAGGGATTAAGTTACCTTAATGGCCTTGGCGGAAGAGTGCAGACATTTACTAAGAAACCCATTTAGAAACCTCATAAAAGCTGAAATCTGTTTCCTAGTACTAAACCAGGTAGCAATGTACAGCAGCCCAGAGTGAGCTGGAGAGGCACAAACTAGAAATTGTACTTTATTCTTTATATTTGGCATGTTAGTGACTTACAGTGCAAAAGGTTCCTGTTCGTGTTCTTTTTCTTTTTGTTAGTGCTTGGTGATGTGTAAAATGTAGAGCTGGGTATTTCCACATCTTTTGGGGGGAGGGAGGTTAATATTCTTTTCTCTCAGATGATGCTACATCTGTCAGATGAAACTATTCATTTTTTTCTCTTTCAAAAGCTATACAGATAATCTAATAAAAAGTAAAATTGGTGGCAATTGTCGGCTATTCTTGAGTAATTAACTTAATCACTTTGCCTCTGTCTTATAATCTATCAATGATTAATGGAGAAAGTCACAGTGAAGCATTTTGCCTACGTCATCTTAGACTTCTGGTGAAGGGATGGGTTTGATCAATTACATTTGTTTTTTAAACAAATACTTAAGAATTGAAATTTCAAGCATTTTAAATACAATTACCATATTTTCATATTTACTTAGATGAACCTATCTTCTAAGGGCATTATTTGTGGCCAGAGCTTTTGGACTTAATGTGGATTTTATGCACATATCTCAATTCTACTCTTTAGGTTCATAAATTCTAAGTTTTATTAATGCTATAACAAGATTGTGCACATTCCGCCTTACTAGCTATATTCTTTTCTAATGAGAATTAAAAAAAGAAAGAGATACAGAAAAGTAAAATATTTAATCTTGAACATTTTTCATGATAGGATGAAAAATAGGAACATTAGAAATACAAAAGCCAGAGCACTTAACAGAATGCTTTAGAAATTTGTTGTATTTTAAAAGTTCTACCAATAATTAATTACTGATAGAATAATAAAAAAAGATGAGATGAGAAGGAAAACTCAATTAATAAATACGTAAAGACTTCATTATCTGTAGAAGTGGCACTTGCCTAGCAGAGCTTATATATTAAGGAGAAAACTTAATTAGAAAGGTCATTTGACTTTAATAAAGATTCCAGTCATTGAATTATTGAGGAGTCTAATTTCTAATTATAACCCGACCTTAGGGAAAATGAAGTTCTCTATTTTGATAAAAGATTCAGCTGAGGCAAAAGGAAAAAAAATAGTAGTCTCATCCCATTGAAACCTTTTAGCTTTTTCTTTATTGTCTAGGAATTTTGCAATCAATATAAGATCCTTTTTTAAAAAGATGCATTTTTTTTTTACATGTAGCTGTTTTCTGTTAAAGACCATGGCCAAATGTGCAATTCTTGAATGCAGTCGTAAAACAAGGGGTCATTGCTTGTGTAAATTGTTTGCTCATGATTTAAGCTTGTTCCCTTCAAAACAAGGGTCCATTTTCTCCTTAATATATAACAAATTGCATTTAGTGGACTAACTATATTTTTTCCTCTCACATAGTTTGCTTAAATTGATTTTTTGACACCATTGAATAAATTTAGATGTGTCTATGTTTACTTCATTTAACTGTGGCTGTAAAAACCAATTTTTGGGTGACAAGTTTGAGATTGTTATGAATAAAATGAGTCATGAATGAACTGCTTGTTTGTGATTTTCTTGCTGAAGTGATGAATTTACATATTAATGTGATATAGTATGAGTAACCAGATTGTTCTTTTGGTTGCTCAGGATGAGATATATGCTGGCAGTGAGAAGCAGCTTAAGGACTAATGAATAGAAGCTGAACTCCATGGTTTGAATATAGGGTTTCACTAGCTGCCTTGATTTGGCCCTTTGGGTTGGTCTGTACCCGGAAGAATTGCTTGTGTGTATATACATACATATATATGTGTGTGTACTTATAAAGCAGTGATGATAATAATGGTTAAAATTTACTGAATGTTTGCTACAGGTGGCTAATATTCTGGATTCTTTTACATAGATAATCTCTTTAGTCATCATAAAACTCTAGAGAGGTAGTTACTGTCCATGAGTCCCATTTTGCTGAAGAAGAAATTAAAATTTAAGAAATTTGAGTAACTCATTCATTGGCTAATTTAACATAAAAAGTGGATTGAGCATTCAGCCTAAGATATTGGCCCAATAATCCGTGCTCCATAGTTCATAATCAAGACCATACTGAGTCTTACCAATTCCTGTGTTAAGTCCTTTCAACTCTTCCCTGCTGTTATATAGACATTTTTATGTAAATAAGAAGCTATTATATTAATACTTTTTTCATATTTATTTATGTGTATCTGCCTGGTCTCACTGTGCTAAGAATTTGAGGTAATTTTTTTAGGCTGAAGCATTATTAGTTAAAGACAAGTATATTTCTTTACTATATTAGCCATTCTTGAAGAGGACTCAAAAATGTAATTGGGTTGTTTACTTAAATCTGTGTTTAGAGTGTATATAGCTTGTTTATAGAGGTACTAAGTGAAAACCGTACTAGTTACTAATGAGAAAATGTTTTTTCATGCTATACTTGCTAGAAACATTAGTTCTTCAATGCTAATTATATAGGTAGAAAACTCTACATTGTATTATTCTAGCCTGAGTGCTAAATAGACTTTCAATTCTGCATAGATAGAAGTGTTCTGAGGGTTAATGATGAACAATAAAATAATCAAAAGCATAGACTATTTTTTATTTAGCAATGAAATGATATACAACTATTTTTTGCTGAATTAATGCTGTATCATGTATTTCTGTGTTATCACAAGTGCACACTTGGTAGGGTTTAATTACCACAAAAACTTAATTTGTTTGTATTAATAATGTCTGAAAAGTGATACAACTTGTTAAACTGGACTGGTTAGAATATTTCTGTTTTGGAGTTTATTTATGCACTTGACTCAATGCAAAAAATGTACTTGACGTAAGAATGAGTTTGGGTAGGCAGTCATTCAGAACACTGGAAGAGTAAGTGGAAGCAGTGTTTAGCAGGGTAGATTACTAGTAGTGTTGGGGGTAGACTAGTGGATTCTCTATTAGTGGAATCTACATTGAGTATACCAGTTTTCATTACTACAACATAATACCTGAGTCTGGGGATTTTATAAAGTAAAGAAGTTTACTTAATTTAGAGTTTAAAGATTGAAGGTTTAAATAGCATAACGTGGTGGTGAGGGCTTCATGGTAGATGACATCATGGTAGATGCATACGCCTGAGATCACATGGTAAGACAGGAAGCCAGAGCGAAAGAGTGGAAGGGCCCATCTTGGTCTTTTTAATAACAACACTTTCTCAACTAACCAAAGTCCCACGAGAACTGCATTGATTCTTTCTAAGTGCAGAGCCTCTGAAGACCTTAATCATCTTCTACTAAACCCTACTTCTTAATGGCCCCACCACCTCTTAATATCACCACACTTCTAACTGGCTTCTAACATTCAATCCATTGCAGTATAGCAGACATGTATCTCACTCAGCACCTTTTGCTAGGGATAATAAGTGGAGTTAAATTATGAGTTTTTATTTATTATTATGATCTAACTTAAAGAGGACTACAAGCTGAAAGAAAGAGGTATTTTTTTCTCCTACCAGAGTCAAGAGAAAACCTTAGGTAAGTACCATATAGAATAATCCAATTTAACTTTCTGTATAAGCTGAAGTTTTGTTATTTTTCTAATCTAAGACTGTTTTGCAATTTCTCAAACATTCAGCATGGACATAAAAATCCAAACAATGATATTAAACATATTTTTATACGGTGGAAGGAAGAAAGGAGCCAATATTTATTTATTTAACCCTTAAATAGCAGGTTAGCAGGCACGGACTGTTATACATTTCCCATATCTTCTATTTCTTACCTGTTTTCTTATTCCTCTTGCCAAAAGGGGAGGAAATGAGAGACAGATCATTTGCCTATGATTACATGGCATCACCAAGCTGGGAACTAGCCTTGGATATGACTCCTGTTGGTATTCTTGATAAACATGGCCACATA